AGGCCTATACTTAGCTGTGGCATGAATACTTGTGGCATAAGAATTACACATGTAATGTATATTGAATAAAAAAAATATTCTATTCATCTGTTGGGCTATAATAATTTTGTAAAGTTGATGTTGAAGTTGTTTTAATAACATATTTTACTATCGAGAATACAATAAACAACGTAGAACAGTTTTATTACCTAAGTTATCAAAAAATAAATTTATTATTAACATTTTGTTTTTTTTTTTGTCAGAAACACACATCGAGATCAGCAATAAGTTACGAAATGAAAGAAAGACATCACGTGGAGACTGAAATACTCTAAAAACTTATTTCATGTTAATTTCACATATTATCACCAAGTACTTTATGATTTCCTATTAATGTCTACATGTCCGTTGTACAAAATGAAGCAGTTTTTTTAAGTTTCTATTTTCATTTTTATTTAAAGAAAAGATCTCGCGTATGATCTCCACCGGCAGCAATGAAATTGTTGATTACAATTGTTAAGTGCTGATTTACACTGTGCTCGGCGGTGAAAGAAAACCTCGTGGAAACCATCCACGAGGCTTTTCTTCACTACCGAACACTGTCTGGCAGCCTGCACGTCTGAGAAATAAAAAAAAATGTCCTTCAACACGCATTGGGGAAGCGCAGCGTACAATTCCTTGCTCTAAATTCCTCTCAGAAATGAGAGGCCTGTATCTAGTAGTAAAACGTATAGGCTCTAACTTTTTTTTAATTCCAAAAAAATGGTCAAAATTTTTGATGAAATCTTCCCGTGAGTGTCGTTTACTTTTTTAGGCTTTTGATAGTGTTCACGCACCTAGCTGTCCCTACAAAGATCTACCATAAAGGGGCCCATACAGCTGTTAAGTTCGACGGACAACTAAGGACGGGACCCAACTGGCCTTATGGAAAATGTCTTATCCTACTACACAATAGGGAGAAGGCTAGGTGAATAAATAGTACGTACCTGTTCAGAGGCGAAGAAGGCTCCCAGGGCTAGTTCAGGCGTAATTGTCGTGAATGTGAGTAGTGTGTGAGAAGTGTATATCTGTGTAACCTGAATTAGCCCTTTTAATCATCAGCCACCCTGACTACAGCACCGCCCCCCGGCGTGGTATTCTGCAGCGGCGGCAGCAATGGACTATTTCTTTCTTCAATTCACTATGTCAGTCTATCAACTTTATCGTACATTTAACTAACTTCAAGACGCAACTAAATCCCGTTAATTATAATAAAAAAACGTAACTCGCGGCACGACGGATGACCGGTGGGTCAAAGTTCACTAACGTTCACTCCGCAACAAATTATTTCGAAAACCGAACGCGACCTTTTAAGGCGCTTAACGCAACGGTACAATTAAACACTAACTTCTCAATAATTAGCCAACCTGGCGTGTAATGTTCTAGACTACACAATTATTCGTCGCTGCACAAATCCGTTAACAAAATCGGCGCTATTAGAGGCAACCACGCGGCTCGATTCGACTCACAGCAAGCATAGCCCGGCCGCCGCTTGACGAAAAAAAATACCCGATCTCCCACACGCTAAGCGCGTGCGAGGAGGCTCCCGTAAGCCGCGTGCCCGCCGGTGCTAAGTACATCGAAGAAGCACGCTAACGCGCCTCCGTTATCATAATTTTGAATTTTAGCGTTTGGCGCAAACAGATAGGCTGTAACGGTTCTTGGTTTTTGTTAGATATTTCCTGAGCGTTTAATTTAGCAGCGGTACACCATATCGCAATAAAGTCGCAACGGCGACTAGCTTTAAGCACAAGACAGAGTTATATTGTCCGAATATATCCGCAAGCACAGTTACACTCTCTATTCCTTCACTCTCATAGACCGGGGTCGGTCGGTCACGATCGGTCATCAGGCGCAGAGCCAACAGCTTTACGTGCTTTCCGAGGCACGGGGGTGAACCACCGCTAATATCCTGACTCCAGACTGCTACTGAAAATTTCTTGACAGAAAAATCCAGGGACGGGATTAATACTCGGGAATGATCAGCAGTCACGCTTACGATTACTAGACCAACATGCACATATGATCCTAAATACGAGTCAAATGTGCAAACTTTGGAGCCGCAGAAGGAGCTATGCGGCAGCGTCGTGGGTGGAGCACGAGCGACAGATGATTATCGAACGTTGACATTGCGACAATCGTGATGTTTTTGGTAATGTATCGAGTAAACGAGTACACAAGTAATAGGTATTGGTTAGTCACATATGAGTAGGTGGCATAGGGAAACAACCGACATAGTCCAACAGATTTTTTTATATTATTCTAATCCAGCGCTTAACTACAATCCCACCTGATGGGAAGTGGTAATGTAGCCTAAGGTTGTGAAGCGCACTGACTTAACAAAAGCCTCTTCTAACTACTAACTCTTGCCTTGAAGACACACACATTGTAATCGGATGAAAACACAGATGCTGGAAACGTATACGACTCCACTTTGCTGTACGCATGATGAGCAATGTAGCAAACCGTTTGGTTCGAATGCGTGGTAAGTTAACAACGAACTGGCCGAACGCCTGGTTGTTCGCTGGTGGAAGTGAGAGGGAGGAATGAAATTATGCAATTCCTGCGCACACTCTCCGAAACGTACCCTGTAGAAAACTGAAAGGCTGGCTAATTTGCGCCTGTGTTTGAGACTGGTAAGATTGGTTTTAACCGATTTCGGGTCACCAATAAACCTTTTAGTAGAGTTCAAAGCTGCTGTGTGGAGTTTTGCAGCACCAGCCCATGTATGGCAGCGATACTCCATGTAGGCAGCGATACGACCGGACTCGCGCTTTATATAAAGTAATCAGCTATCCTACGCTAAACTCCTAGCTTCCTTGCAGCTGCTTTGATCTTGGACTCAATGTACCGCCCGATGTTCAGATTAGAGCATATCTCAACCCCCAACAACTGAAGGCGGTCGGTATATTCTAGTGATACATTTCGGAAAGAAGGAGCCAAGATGAGCTGGCTCCTTTTCTCCTTCGGACTGGATTTTTTCCCGTCTGGCCTGAGGACTTGGTTGGTATCTCTCCACAACTGTGCTATCGTCTGCATACCTATAAGGCGGCATAAGCATATCATTAATATGAAGGAAGAGAGTTGCGGAGAGAACGGACCCCTGAGGAACACCGGCGTTAGTCGCAACAGGATCGGATGAGCAGCCATTGAAGACGACCCGGAGAGACCGTTCCCTCAGAAAGTCCTTTACCCAGTCAATCAAACCAGGGGATAAGCCGTACGCTGGAAGCTTACCCAAAAGGCAAGCGTGCCAAACTCTGTAAAAGCCTTCGAGACATCAAAGGAAACAGCAAGTGCTTCCCCACTGTTCTCGAGTGCCTGACCGATTTCGGCAAAACCCGTATTGGCGGCCACTAAGGAGGTCATTCTGTTCTAGGTATGCCATTAAGCGGGCGTTTAATATACGCCCCATAATCTTGCAGAGTATGGAGGTAATTGAGATTGGCCGAAAATTGGCAGGATCGGCACGGCTGCCTTTGCATCCAGGATTTTGGCCATATTCAAGTCCTAAATGAGAAGCGGAACAAGTGCATCAGCCCAGGAGACAACTTAGGTGCACAAGCCTTTAGAACTATAGCTGGTATACCATCTAGTCCACTAGCTTTATTCACGTCTAGACACCGCAAGGTTTTAAGAACATCCTTATTTGTGATACGGACCTCCGATATAGAGGTCCCGCAGTGAGGTAATATAGGCGACGGAAGGTTCTTGCCACTGTCCAGACTAGTAAGCTGAAGGGGCAATGGGCCGGCCATATAGCTCGAAAAACCGACAACCGATGGGGAAAAAAGGTTCTCGAGTGATAGCTTCATACCGGTAGGCGAAGTGTAGGGTGACCCCACACTAGATGGAGTGACGACCTGATAAGACATGCAGGAAGTCGATGGATGCAGGTGGCCCATGACCGTGCTTTGTGGCATTCCTTGAGGGAGGCTGATGATGATGATGATAGGGAAACAAATTCATCCATTATGACCACATCAGTAACAAATTCTTTTTTTTAATCGAAGACTTGTTATGTGGTATAACCATGCTGCAGATATATTATGCTTGTAGCACGAATGGGTCGGCTCGACCCGAGAAGGAACGCGGACCCCGCTCTCACAGGATACCAGCGTGAAATAGCAGTTTAATGTTTGCTGTGTTTCGTTTAGTTAATGTAGAGAACCTGAGACCCTTTTTACTGGAAACGAGGCATTCCATCTTAGTCCTCAGGGTGACAACGCATCTGCATTTTGATTCATAATCGTGGATAGATGTAGATGTCTATGGGCCACAGCATCCACTTACCATGAGGTAGACTGTGTGCTCATTTGTCACCCTTTACTATAAAAAAAGACTTCATTTTCCATCATACAAATTTGAATTATCCTACTGTCTTGGGAAGGAATAATAATTAATGTTCGCGAAAGACCTGCCATATGCCATTCCGTTGTATGTTAAATTGTAACACTGCGTCGAACTACGTCGAACTTGAATTAGGTCCCTTTGAATATTATTTTATGAAAATTTTGATTTATTCTTTGCTATTATAGTAGCAGAATTATTGGTCACAAATACGTTGTCAAAAATAAATAATCAAAACAGTAATTTGTAAATAAAATATAATATACAATACATGGACTATTTTCACATCTTAAACTCTTAAATGCCATTCACGAACGCAATCGTTGCTAAATTATCTATCTATACAATTTTAAAATCTTTAACAATATGTATTATTATAAACATAAGTGAAATTTTGAAATACGAACACAAACAAAATTAAAGGTGGGGATCTGACTCATGGAATACCAAACAGCATTTTTCCCTCAGAGATTTTATCTAAGTAATTGACTTTATTTTTTTTTGAATACTGAGGCTGATAGCTCTCTATGTGCATTTTTCTTGTTAAAATTACTCTATAGCAGCGGTAGATTATGAATAGGTAAGTATAAGTTGTACTAAGGTAAGTATAAGTTGTACTATACAAGCTTCATTCAAACGTTGGACGCATTAGGCCTGCAAATTCTGTTACGTATTTCTTGTTCTATTCGTACACTTTTAGGTACACGGCATTGTGTACAAGCGTCCCCTAGTCGCGGCATTTGATGCGTGAGCTTGGCAGCACGCGCCGCACCATAGTCAACCTCGCGCGGTTTCCAACGCAGATCCATTTTGTCGCCGCAACGGCACGTCATATCTCGACATATCTGAAAGAAATTTGTGTAGTATTAAAAAAAAATTAACATACCCAAGATGAAGATGACGACAAACGAAACCGGTAATTCCTTTCCAAAAGTTGTGGTGGAGGATGAGACAGTAGAGGTGGTCGAATACGACATATGTATTTCCGAAATATTTCCTAAGATAATAGATAGAGAACGTAAACACCGAGTTGCCAAGATCTCTATTATCTAGTATATTGTATGTAATTTCTGGGTGTACCCCATAAATAAATTAGTAATTAAAAAAAAAATTATGCCACTGTCAAGGAATAGCGAAAAATTGCGTACAAAAGAGGAGACCTTTGGGAAGCAGTGGAAATATTAGAGGCTAGATAATGATAACTTATTGTTGTATTCAGTTTTGTAAAAGCGTAATGAGGCAGAGCAGCAAGGTAAAACTTCGTTTAGAATAAGATTTAAATGAAGCAACATTAGGAAAATACAATCTGCGATGGCTGACTGCTAAGTAAGCGGGGAGCTAACCTATATAACCTAAGGAGACGAAACACGTATCGTAATAGCGGCGGTCATTATGTTATATGTACTACGTACTAGAGAAGCCTTTCTAAAAAAAAATATTGTGTACTACTCATGTCTTCGCGCATGCGCGGGACTTAGTATAGTCGCCCATGCGCAGTTGATTTAAGTGCGTTGCGCCTGCGCGGTCAGTTTATATAAAGAAATATATTTTTTCATGAATTTTTTTTTTTGTAATATTACGATATACCTCCAAAACACAAACCCTCTATTTTGCATTTACGCAACTTTTCCAAATTGAACATTGATCAACTTAAGAGCGACGCTTCCCGTGGATTTAGAACCTCTTGGTTTAGCATGTACAATAGATGATAAAATCTCAATCCTTAATAGTATTGTTCTTAATTTATATAATGTTCATGCTCCTGTACACCAAATAAGAGTAAAGCGTCCTCTTGCACCCTGGATGAACAAAGGCGTAAGGGTGGCAATAGCGAAACGGAACCGAGCTTTTCAGAAGTTTAAGCAGCAACGCACTGTGGAAAATTGGACTAGTTTTAAGGCTTGCAGAAACAGATGTAATCAGATGGTGCGAAACGCTAAACGCCGCTATATTCACGATAATATCCTTAATACTTCGACCGCAGGTATGTGGAAATTCCTTGGATCCCTAGGTATTACTAAGCCTCCGTTAGCAGAGTTAGGTTCTCCGTTTAATTTAGATGACATTAATCGTCATTTTTCTGCCATTGTTCTTGTTGATCCTAGTATTAAATCCCAAACGATACATTCTATCGCTTCTATGGAATCACTCTCCATTCCCTTTTATGAATTCTCTCCTGTCACCCAAGATGATGTCGCTAAGGCGTTATCAGCTATTAACTCCAAGGCTCCGGGTTGTGATGACATAAGCAAGACTATGGTGAATATGTTAGTCGAGTTCCTACTCCCAGCAATAACAATTATTGTAAATTACTCCCGGGACTCAGGTCAGTACCCAACTTTGTGGAAACAAGCTTATGTTCAACCTCTTCCCAAAATTCCTAATCCTACACTACCCTCTCACTATCGACCAATTTCTATTCTCCCATTCCTGTCCAAAGTTCTTGAAGCCAGTGTGTATAAGCAAATCTCTTGTTTCATAAAAGAACATAACCTATTGAATGTTTTTCAATCAGGGTTTCGGTCTGGTCACAGTACCATCACTGCACTTATTAAGGTCACTGATGACATAAGAAGAGGTATGGATGAACAGAAAGTGACAGTACTGGTGCTTGTTGACTTTTCAAATGCTTTCAACACAGTTGATCACGACATCCTCCTCGCCATTCTGATTGATCTCAGATTTTCATCCTCAGCCTTGGAGTGGATCTCATCCTATCTTCGCGGCCGCCAACAGTCCGTCCGCCTTGGAGAACAGTTCTCTGGCTGAGCTGACATCGAATCTGGTGTGCCGAAAGGCGGTATACTTTCTCCTATAATCTTTTCTTTATCCATTAATTCCATATCTTCTATTATCAAGTGTTCGCACCACCTGTATGCAGATGATCTTCAACTATACGTACAATCTAGTATCGATGACATCAATAACGTCATAAGACTGATGAACGATGATCTTGATGCTATCCGAGTTTGGTCGTACAGGCATGGTATCTCGGTAAATCCGTTGAAATGTAAAGCAATGATTGTAGGTAGTTCAAGGATGCTGGCCAAGATTGACTATAAAAACCTTGAACCTGTGGTTTACAATAGTATATCGATCCCTTTCAATGAATCAATAGTTAATCTTGGCTTGCATGTAGATCAAACTATGAACTGGAGTTTGCAAATTTCTGAAATAAGGCGTAAAGTTGTTGCTGCCTTGCGTTCCCTGTATCGTCTGAAAAATTTCTTGCCCTTCAAAAGTAAGCTTATCTTGGGTAATTCCCTCATGCTTCCCATTATTGATTATGCTGATGTGTGCTATCCGGATCTGTCGCAAAATCTTCTCAATAAGTTGGAGCGCCTTCTCAATAGTTCTCAATAGTAAAAGGCTCACTATACATCAAAGGCGTTGCTCCAGAATTTTATTGACACATTTTTTCATCTTAAATGATGCTAATTCTCCGCCATATCTTAAAAAAACTTCAACTTTCTCTACTCTATTTCCGGCCGTGCGAAGTTTCTTCTAACGCATTTAAAGTTAGTATTCCAGAACATAGAACAAAACTTTTTATTTCTATTTTCACAGTTCAGGCTATTCTCCTCTGGAACGCTTTACCCACTGATGTCAAGGAAGTTACGAATAAGCTTTTGTTTAAAAGATTGGTGCGACAACGTTATTTAGAGGTAAACAACAATTAATTGCCTTCCCCGTTATATATATATATATATATATATATATATATATATATATATATATATATGTATATATATATATATATATATATATATATATATATATATATATATATATGTGTGTGTGTATGTGTGTATGTGTGTATATATTTACATATGAGTCTTGTTTATGTATACTGTATTTATATAGTGCAATTAGGTAGTTTTGTATTGTGTAATCTATTTTTAGAGCTGAACTGTTTTTATTTATAACTTATGTTTTATTATTGTCCTTAACTTGCACCTGCCAACATCTTTATTTATTCCATTTTTCGTCGGGTTGACTGGTAGAGAATCCCATAGGGCATTAAGTCCGCCCTTTGTAACCCCTAGTTGGTGTGTTGCAATAAAGGATAAATAAATATTATTACTATATATATACTATTTATTCACTTGAACAACAAATAATTTTACTTACTTGACTACTGAATTGTTATTTACGTCTAGGTTTAAACTTTAATTTGAAATCTTGTATTACTAGCGCCGCCCCACACTGCATGAATATTGAAACCACAGACTAATTAGTAGATTGAAACCACACTAAATGATACTCAGTACGGATTGCAGTACAGTTCAGTTGAACATAGTGTATGTTCGGAATGCGCAATCTAGTACGTATTACATATATATCGATGGCGGCGGTAGTGTGTCTTTCCTAGTGTAGTGGTGTTAGAATAGGTGGTGACGGTGATAGTGCACACAGTTGAGGTAGGGCGGGAGGTACTTCAAATATGTAAGACACATCATTTTTATTTTTCACACGGATCTTAGCCAGTTAATTTTAAGAACTTTACCTAGCGCACTAGCCTTACTGAATAAGACTGAAGCCATTCCTTATAGTAGGGAAATTAGCGGGGATAAAAGTTAGCTTATTATAATTTTTGTTTTCACTATCTCACCGAAGCTAAATATTCATCGCGGCAGGCATCAGGATAGTCGCATGTCCAAGTGTTTGGCGGTACGCAAGGCACGGGAGGTTGTGTAAAGCACATATTTGGACTTGGGTAGTTACAGGGCGCTGTGCAGGAACATTGCTGACACATTGTGTACACCTGTAAAACACAATTACAATACAGCAGAATTGTAAAAGTAAAAAATAAATAATTTAAAAAACGGATTGTATATATAACTACAAAAACTCTTGTGTTAACATTTTTATTTATAAAATGCAAATTTTAAATACTTATTTTACACAATTATTTTTTTTTAATCTGCTTACCAACCACACAGCTCGCGCAATCTCATTTCGGACGTAGGGAAGACAATTACATAAAAGGCAGTTCTCAAACTTACTAAGCTCTGGAACGCCTAATACTTTCTCTATCCCCGTCGAACCGAGATTTACCTGTAAAGAGTTAAAAATGAATAAATATAAAATCAATTGGTACAGCCAATTTAGTTATAATATATCGTTTTCATATGTCGAGGAGGTGCGGTGACTGCCACTTGCGTCATACTTCCGAAGAAGTGCTGCTAGTGTTTACTTTGCAGTTATCTAATACACAGTTTTAGTCTCGTTTTAAGGGTTCGATACCAAAAGAGTAACCAACGGGACCCTATTACTAAGCCTCCGCTGTCCGTCCGTCCGTCCGTGCGTCCTTCAGTCTGTCTGTCAGCGGGCTGTATCTCATGATCCGTAATAGGTAGAGAGTTGAAATTTTCACAGAATATGTATTTCTGTTGTCGCTATAACAGAAAGTAATAAAAATAAAAATAAAGTAAAAATTAAAGGGGAGCCCCTATTAGAATCGTGTTTTACAATGGTATGGAACCCTTCATGCGCGACTTCGATTCGCTCTTGGTCGAATGTTATTCAAGGACAATTATACTGTAGTTAAATAGTTTATGTATAAGTATAATATGCCCGTGCATAAAACAACAAAAAAGAAACACCTACTAAGTTTCCTTCGCCGTTTGCTCTCCGGTCAGAGAAAGTTCATTCAGTACGGTAATATACCAAAATATGAAATTTGGCTAGTCGAACAAATAAATATATCATCATTCATCATCATCATCATTACAGTCTTTCATAAGTCCACTGCTGAACATAGGACTCCCTCAAGTAATGCCACAAAGCATGGTCCTGAGCCACCTGCATCTATCGACTTCCTGCATGTCTTACCAGGTCGTCACTCCATCTCGTTGGGGGTCGCTCTACACTTCGCCTACCGGTACGAGGCTACCACTCGAGAACCTTTCTTCTCCATCGGTTTTCGGTTCTTGGAGCTATATGGCCGGCCCACTGCCACTTCAGCTTACTAATCCGTTGTGCTATGTCGGTTACTCTGGTTCTATTGCGGATATCCTCAATTCTAGGTTTATCACGCAGAGAAACCCGAGCATAGCCCTCTCCATAGCTCGCTGAGCGACCTTAAGCTTCTATAGATATATAGATATTTAATTTTACATATCTATACAGAATCGAAATGTAAAGGAATCTCCAAGTTCATTAAATAAAGGGATTTCATTATAAAAAAATTAAATGCAAAGGAATATCCAAGTCCATTTTATCCAAGGCAGTGACGAAACAATTTGATGGTTAGTAATTATCTCAAAAATCGCAAAACATATTTGGGAGCCCGAGGAGCAGCCAACGTCCCGAGTGATAGTTCGGAGCTATTCTACGAGTATATTTGTATACTGCTTTACTTCGGAACTTTGATAGCGCGAATTAGGCTTCGGTGCCTTTCGGCTATGGTTTGACAACAGCGCTGCCACATCACCCCTGCTTCGGACCGGACCGGAGGTCGATAGTGCAATCTAGATGTCGAAGAATATGCTAGTGGCAGGGTGGAGTCGAGAAGAAGACAAGTAATCTGCGAGAGTACCATGAAGCAGAGACGAGCAGTAATGCTCAGAGCCGTGCCGAACACTGTAATGCAGAGAGTAGCTTAAAGGAACAGTGCTGCGATGAACCTTGTAAAGCTAGGTGGCTTACAGGATCTGAAGATTGCAGACAATATCTGCTCGGGAGCAAATGTATGAGGTACTTGTAGACGATGACGAAAGCTTGAAGTTGAAGTTTCCGAAGGTTGTTGGTTGAGTGTTCATATCACGTCAGGATCACTAATTTGGCCGTGGATAAAAAGGGAAGATGCCCCGCTGGGCAATGTGTTCAGCCTGGAGAGCGGCAAACGCTCCATGTGTTATTTCGGAGCCGTTTTATATATAGCGTTAACTTCAGAACTTTGATAGCGCTATTTAGGCTTTGGTACGTTTCGCTTACAGCGCGACGACAGCGCCGCCACGCATAAAACATTAAGAGCTAACAATCCTTTATAGTTTAAAGCATTGTAAAGATCTAAATAATTCAATTATAATAGCTAAGCAGTTAAATAAATAATGGTGAATGAACACTCATAAACAGTTTAAAACTTTTGATTATTCGAAAGTTGTAACAAAAGAAAATTTCTTAGCTATATACATATACTCACTTCACTGGCAAAGAACTGGCAATCAGGTGCACATGTGCCCAGGCTATCGACGTATGCGCACTGCACCACTTTACCGCCTTGCAGACCCTTAACCACGTTGATAGTATTTCGCGCAACTGCGTAGGCGCCCGCCAGACAAGCTGTTTCGTTATTGCAGCCTTTTGCTGCTCTTACTGCTTCATCACCGCTCATTATACAAGATGTTACACATTCCACCTATGAAAGATTTTGTTAACTTTTTCTGCCTTCTTAATTAAATTAGTAATAAATCGCAATCTGCTAGACTGAGTCTAGCAGATTAGACCACTGCAGTCCATTGACGACTGCAATTTAGTTCAAATAAAAAAAAACTTGAGGGTGCTTGAATATGGACAATTATTTTATACTATTTGTCCTGCTATTGAACATGAACACAGCATCGCACCCAGCAATGCTACTTTGAAACAAGTTATAAGATATCACCTAGACTCCCATTTGTAAGCAGAAAAGAATCCCTCTACCTCTACTACCTGCTAAAATAGTAATATGAATTCTAACTATCCATTATTCATTTTCAAAATTCATTGCCTAAACTTTTCCCGAGGGGTTTTAAAATCAAAAAGTTTGGAAAATCCAAAAGTGCATGCCTCATGAGCGTTTTATTTAATTTTGACGAAAAAAAATAAATTGTATTCCTGCACTCTATTATTTTAACAGGTAGTATTACCTACAGGGAAAAAAATGTTTACCAAAATAAATCGATTACACAAAGTATAAAATCGATATAGGCTGTATGGTACATTTTGTCCTTTGTCTATCAAATGCTAAAGAAATATATGACAGCGCCTTTAAATTTTTAATAGCAATAAAACTTAAAAAAGTTGAAAATCATTTTATTAACAAACTACGCATACTAGGCCATTGATATGAAATAGGAAACTAGTTGATGTAATTCTGAAGCTAATAAAAAAAATCCGGTCTCGATACGTCAATTTTTTGGGAGTTATTGTGACTACATACATACAAAATCAACATCCGGACGCCACGTAAAATTTTTTTCAAACAGTTTTTTTATTTCAAAGCAATAATATAAAATTATTTTTTAGAAAATATAAGGTGGATTAATTATAGTATTTTCTTGATATACGGCTACTCATATTATCGTGTAAGTGCAATATGATCACGATAGAGGCATTTTAACAACACAAAATTCTTTGAACTTGACGTGTCGAGGCGTGCAAACAGCAATATGCCCAAAAAGGGTTATAGTAGTCTTCAGTTTATTACTCATGAATATACCTAGGCTACTACACCGGGATACGAGTATTACAAGACAGTTGATGATGGCCAATGAAGAATAATGGAGAATCAAACTGTGTTTAGTTAATTTTAGGTGCTTTTTATTTAAGACTTGATGCGGGTAGATTAGAATCGTGCTTTGAATTTCTTAGGGTAGGGTAATTTCAGCAGTGAACTGAAGATGGGCTGCAATGATGTTAACGATAATAAATAGGCTATTTCTAATTAGTTCAGTTGATAGAATAGATAAAAAAAATTGATAGAAAGTTCTTTACTGTACTACAAATATTTTGATGCAAAAGCGAACTTAATGCAAAAAATGGTATTCTCTGCCAGCTAAACTTTGGTAATTTAGTGAGAGCTATGGATATAGCAGCATCATAACCAACAATTACTTGTTACATAGAATGAAGAGCACCTTCCTCCTCCCTCAATTATATGCACTTTCACCGTCACTACTAATCTTAGCATCACTATCCCCAATAGCACTACACCAGGAAAGATACACCATCGTAGATAATACGATACGTGTTTCATCTCTAAGCAAGGCATCGTTTATGGAGAACTAAACTCTGCTATTCCTGACCGAAAAGTAAGCGCTGACGCAAGCGCTTTCCAATTAAGTAGCGTTTAAGTAATAATTTATGTTTTTATTTTTTAGTAATAGTTTCTTAAGAAAATGTGCATACCCCTGAAGAGAATCTAATATCAACCTTAGTCTGTATTGATTTCTTCTGCAGATGAAAGGCCATTATCAAAATATTGTGATTTAACATGGACCAGCCGGGCTAAGTGAGTATAATCGAGTCGTTTAAAAATTCATGTGGGCTAGCTAGCTCATCCCATCCAGTCTACAGCAGTCAATTTAAATGTTTGATAAATTAGACAATAATGAGAAATAATGAACACATAAAACGTGTTTGAATTTGAATTAATTATCGAATAACTTCACCTGTTCTTGTGTCATAGTGCCAGGATGTAGAGCGGCAGAGAGCACAGGCACCATCGTATACGGAGTCGCACCACCAATTACGGGCACGCGAACAGTTTCAGGCGGTACCCGTAAGAAATCCGCTAGCACTGTGTTAGCGCGCACACAGTTAAGTTCTACACAACCCAGCAACTTGCGCGGATTATAAACAGTGCGCAGACGCTGTATTTCGCTTACTAACGGTACCATACTTTCTACTGGCTCAGTACCAATTATTGTAAAAGCCTGTGGAAATTATCACATATATGACATAATACATTAATTTAAATAAAATAAAACATATTATCAAAAACGAAATAAATAAACCATTCATTACTGCACATCAAAAGTGCTACTACTGCTGAATATAGCTCTCCCCCATAGATTGAGGAGATATTTTCCATATGTGTAGTTGTAGCGATTTTTTGTATGCATGAATAAATAATGACTACTCACCAAGGACTTTATGTATCAAATTTAAATACTACATTTTAGGGTACTTCAAAGTAAGTAAGAAAAGAAAGTACACACTAAAGTATGAAAATTAAACACAAAACGGAATCGGCTTGAAAGCTTTAGTCCGCCTACTGAACGTAGGGTTGCAGCAAGTCCTTACAATTGAAAATATAATTACTAAGGTGATTAAAGTTTTTAGAATTAATTTGAATTAATATTATTCATACCTCGGGGCAAGTATTACAAATCTGAAGAGATATTTCTGTTAAGATTGGAGCACTATTTTCAAATGTGTCGTTTCCATTGCGAGCGACAATCACTACAACCTTCGCCCCCTATAATAAATTGAATTTTCAATATCTCAATACATTTAGATTTCTAAATATACACAACACAACACAAACACTCACTCCTGTCACCCAGAGGGGTAGGCAGAGACTACGGACTTCCATTTGACGCGATCCTGACACACCTCTCTCGCTTCCTTTACATCCATATATCTACACATACACGCTCGTCGGTTAAAGGTACTCCTAATCTGGCCCATTTTCAATGTGAAAAATAATAAACCTTCGTCTAGGACGTCCCTTCCCGACCCTGCCGTTCACTTCTGCAACATAAATTTGCTTTGTCACTCTTTCCTCGTTCATTCTTTCTACATGACCTTACCTGAAGCATTCCTTTCTTAATCCTGGTCACAACGTCATCTTGCAAACCACACTTTTCTCTTATCACACTATTTCTCACCCTGTCATTCAGATTCAGCCCTAGAATACTCCTTAGTGACCGCATTTCTACAGCATTTATTCTACTCTCATGCTTCTTCTGCCAGACTCAACTTTTACTACCATACATTAAAGTAGGGACTAACACAGTACTATGAATTGCCATACGTGCCTTATTTAACACATTCTGACTCCTCATAATAGCGTGTAGAGCCCTATTGACTCTATTTCCTGCGTTCACTCGTCGTTCTATATCCTTATCATATCTACCATCCCTGCTAAATAAACATCCCAAATATACAAACTCATCCACTTGCTCAATCAACTCCCCTTCTATCCTTTTTTTTATAGAATAGGGTGATAAACGAGCACGCAGTCCACCTGATAGTAAGTAGTTCCTGTGGCCCATAGACATCTACATCTTTCCACGTTAGCGACTCAAAATTCAGATGCGTTGTCACCCGTGAGGACTAAGATGGGATGCCTCTTTTCCAGTAAAATGGGTCTCCGGTTCTCTACACTCACCATACGAAACACAGCAGCATTAAGCTGCTATTTTACGCTGGTATTCTGTGAGAGCGTGGTCCTTCCCCGGTCGAGCCGCCCCATTCGTGTTAGAACTATACTATTAATATAGCTGCAGCATGGCTCTACCACGTATAATTTTTATTTATTCTTATTTCACATAACGTTTTACTTTCTTCTCTTTCAAAAACCATCACTTTCGTCTCACTTGCGTTCACTTTCATACCCCTTTCTTTTAATTCCCAATTCATTAAAGTAACCATCCTTTGCAACTCGGCCGCCGACGATGCAAATATGACTTAATCATCGGCGTACAAAAGGCATTTGACGGTTAACTCACCCATTCTCAACCCACATCCTTCAACTTTCAAAGTTTGCAAGCAACTGTCCATACATAGGTTAAACAGCCACGGGGAAGCTATACAGCCCTGTCTGACACCTTTTTGAATGCCAAACCAGTCCGAGTAGACCCCGTTGATCCTGACACAAGCCTTAGAGTCGCTATAAAGAGACCTTAATACCTGTATCAAACCAGCGCTCAACCCAAATAGGTTCAGTGTTTGCCATAACACATTCCTGTCCACGCTGTCATAAACCTTTTCCAAGTCCTTGAACCCACTAAAAACTTTCTGGTTTATGGCCAAAAACTTCTCTACAATCATGCGCGTGGAAAATACTTGATCCGTTCACCCCATCCCCTTTCTAAGTCCAGCTTGCACATCCCAAATTTTTCCATCAGTTTCTTTCATAACTCTTTTAATTAACACCTTAGCATACAGTTTACCCACAATGCTTAGCAAGCTAATACCACGGTAGTTTTTACAGTCCTGCTGTGACCACTTTCCCTTATATATTGGGATTATAACGGCTTTGCACCAGTCTTCCGGTACCCGCTTCAGTTCCCAACATAAATTAAACAAGGTGTACAGCAGGCCTGCAACCACACCTTCTCCAGCCCTTAGCATTTCGAGAGATACTCTATCATATCCGGCTGCCTTACCTGCTTTCGTACTTTTCATTGCTTTCATTATTTCATTTATACTTATGTCTCTATCTATTTTATCTTCTTTCGGAATTTCTATTTCATTTAATTCAAATGTCTCATCACTCATAAACACGCTTTCAAAGTATTCCTTCCATCTCCTTAAACTTAAAACTTCGTCATTCAGAATGCAGCCATTCTGGTCTCGTATAGCATTCATTATAGGCTGTTTTGAATGTCCCCTGGCAGTTCTTACGAGTTCCCAGAACGTTTTAATGTTTGCCTGGAAGTTATTCGATATTCTTCTACCATTCTTATCCGTTCTTTCTTGCTTTTTCCTTTCAACTACTTCTTTTAATCTCTTATTTAGATGTCTAAAGATTCGAGTGATACTCTATCATATCCGGCTGCCTTACCTACTTTCATGCTTTTCATTGCTTTTATTATTTCATCTACACTTATCTCTCTACCTCTCTCAACTTCTTTCGGAATTTTTATTTCACTTAATTCAGACAACTCTTCACTATTAAACACGCTTTCAAAGTATTCCTTCCATCTCTTTAAATTCGAAACTTTATCATTCAGCATGCAGCCATTCTCTTCTCATTTAGCATTCATTCTAGGCTGTATTGAATTTCCCCTGGCAGTTCTTACGAGTTTTCAGAACATTGTAATATTTGCCTGGAAGTTATCAGATATACTTCTATCATTCTTATCCATCCATTCTTGCTTTTTCCTTTCAACAACTTCTTTTACTCTCTTATTTATACTACTAAAGTCTGCCTTTTTTCTTTCAATCTCATAATTCATACCGTCAGAATTATCAGATTTGGTTGCTAGTAAATCTAGCCATGCTCTTTTCTTTGCTTCAACTTCCATCCGTACCTCATCATCCCACCACAACGTATTACTTTTCCTTTCATTTGTTCTCTTACTTACACCACATACTTCGGTGGCTGCATCCACCAAAACTTTCTTAACATTATTCCATACAGTCTTCAAGTCTAAATCATTCATACGTAATTCATTCAAACTACTTATATTTTCCCCCAGTCTACATTTATACTTCTCTTTCACACCTTCATCTTGTAACCTCTCTATTCTTATACGCTCTAACGCCACTGCGTTAGAGCGTACCACTGTAGACACAGATGTCCGATGCCGCCAACGCCTGAATAGACCATTAATTCGGCATAAGGCCAAGTAATGATCCGTCCCTACGTTGGACCCCCGGTAAACCCTTGTATCTACCACTGCGCTCCTCATTCTTTCATCCACAATTGTAAAATCTATCATGCTTCTATCATCCCCTCTTTCCCATGCATACATGTGAAGCCTCTTATGGCGATAGAAAGTGTTCGTCACAAAAAGATTCTTTTTCACACATTCGGTGAGGAGGTCTTCACCATTCTCATTTATACTTTCATCGCCAAACGTTCCTAATATCCTTTCATAACCAGACCTCTTCACCCCAACTCTTCCATTAAAATTTCCTAACATAATAATATTTTCATTTTCCTTACATTTCATCAACACCAGCCTTACCATGTCCCAAAACTGCTCTCGGATATAAGTGGGCTTAGACATATCTGGGGCGTACACCCCAAGCACAAACAACTTCTTTAAGCCCACTTTCATTCGTATCCACAGCAGCCTTGGGCTTACACATCCATACTCTTTCACACATTGACCCATTCTTTCTGAAAGGATGACACCGGCTCCTTGGCATGCCCGCTCGGTCTCGTCCACACCAGACAGTAAGTAAGCGGTATACATGCCATGTGCAGTGACATCTTTTCCCTTTTGTTTCGTCTCATTTACACATAACATACCTATTCCTCTATCATTCATCATTTCGCATACTTCATCCATCTTATCATTCATTACTCCACATACATTCAGCGTAGCCGCAATCCACTTTTCGCCCCTCCGGGAGACAGGACGTGACGGGTGGCGAAAACCGGCCAATTCTAAATATCTTTCTATAATAAGAATTTTTTCTGCAATTTACCTTAAGTGCATCACACAACATATGTCGACCGGAAAACGAGGAGATTTTGCATTTAGTATCAACATGGCTTAATTCCATACCATATCCACAAGTAGGACGTATATCGTACAAAGCTATTTCATCCAACAAAGGGCATTGTTTAAGTAGCAACGCTAATGGCTGACCTTAGTATAAGGAAATATAATATCACATTATTTACAGTTTTTAACAAAACGTTAACAATATTTCTAACTAGTGCCAGATATACTTAAATGGCTCTATTTTTAAATTAATTCATTTATATTCTTGCATTTTAGGTGCATTTCACTTAGATGATTTGCTTTTTATACTGTTGTCCAAATAGATTCAGTATTATTTTATTTATATTTATTATAAATTATAAGGTAAGGTCTAATACCACTTAAAGTTAGTTGAAGAAAAGGAACTAAGATCCCACTTATAGTTATGATACAGTTATTTTTTATATACGAGAAGGGGCAAACGAGCATGCGGTCACCTGATGGTGAGTGACTACCGCCACCCAAGAACAATTGCAACTACAGGGGAGTTGCAAATGCGTTGTCGGCCTTTTAAAAAAGAGTAGGCTTTTTTCTTGAAGACCCCTAAGTCGTATCGGTCCGGAAAAATCGCTGGTGGTAGTCGATTCCACAAGGAAGTTGTGCAAGGAAGAAAACTTCTTGTAAATCGCACAGTGGTGGACCGCCAAATGGAAATGAAATCAGATAATTTAGCTAGTGATTTCTCATGCAGATGCAAGGCCAATATCAAAATATCAAAATCACAGAACAAATGATATCGTATATTAAATAAATTAATTTAAGATTCCAGAAAAGGTCAAAGCTTTTCAATCGTCTACCTGTGTTTCCAGCCGCGCCGCAAATTGTAACTTTCATACCCGCTGGACAGGTGCTGTAACGGCTATTTATTAATAAATTATATTCTACCAATTGCTTTGTAAATTTTCTTGACGTTGTTATTCTGAATAAATTATGCAAAGTTCTCAAATGATTCATTGTTTCGTTTGTGCTGTCTGACAATTTTTTTTCTAATTTCTAGTTATGTTTTTACTTGATTTTTTTTGTGGTTATAATGCGGGAATTTTGAATGAATTGTGAAGTGAAATGAATAACATGACTTTGTGATGTCATTAATGTTTACTGATTAATTAATTATCCTGCTTGAAGTTTTTATATGCTTTCAGTCTAAAAGAAATTTTTCTCTCAAAAAAGAATTAATATGTTTTTTTGATTTATGAATACCAGCGTAAAATAGCAGCTTAAAACTGGTGTGTATCGTATGGTGAGTGTAGAGAACCGGAGACCCGTTTTACTTGAAAGGAGGCATTCCATCATAGTCCTCTGGGGTGACGACGCATCTGCATTTTGATTCCTAATCGATGATAAATGTAGATTTCTATGGGCCACAGCATCTACTTACCTTCAGGTGGGCTGTGTGCTCGTCTGTCACCTTTATTCTACAAAAAAAAAAACAACAAGTAACATAGAGCCTCGTAGTTCTTTGCAAAAATGAGCGAGCGGGACAATTTCAGAACCTAATATAAAGAAAGTGTAAGAAAGAAAATTTTTATAATAAATATCTAAAATGAATGTTATTTTAAGTCTAAATCCTTAATTATATTATCTATAACTCACTTATCATAACTAACATTTATATGACCATCTCTAGGTAACCTGGGATACCCAGGTTTCATATTTTAAGGTTTAGGATTGCTCTAGGCTCCATGTAGGATTCCATATTTAATGTTGTAGTTAACTGGAGAATAAAAATGATTTGTGAAACCTTTTGATCTAATGCAAATGGATATGTAAAACGAACGAAGTTGACTTAATATTGGATTCGTTTTTATTAAATTTATTTTTACCTATTTAACTTCTCCAACGAGCATTTACTAATTCTATGGCAATGTATTCTTCTTGACCGTGTAGCAGTGTAAGAATATTCACTACCCCTTACAGACTAGTGGGTGTCATATGAGGCGACTTTTGATAGTGTTGAGCGCCACCATTAATGCCTAGTAAATGGCAACACTAGTTACCATTAGCGCCCTCTAGTATCGAGTGGCAGAACTAGGAGAGGCAAGATCCTTCTAGAAATTTCCATTGAAGAACTACCGACATCTAGGTCAATCGGGACTATGGAGTGTAGAGTACAAGGAGAACCATCTTATAAGGGGCGAAAGTTGAAAAAGTGTCCCACTATTTACTGAAAATAGAGGTTCCAAAACCTACCACAATAGCGCTGGCGTCTGAAAAACTACGATATGAATATAGCTGTTGTGAACGGAGTGAAGTCAGCTGAATTCAAATATTTAAAAAATTTCATGACTAGAGTAGTTAGTAAAATGCCAGTATACAAAATCTCAACCATTTACGTAGTACAAAACCAAGCGGATTGGTCGGTCCTTGTTTATTTCTTCATCTTATTCTAATTACTTTTGGCGCTTTTTTTAAATTTATCCTATGCTACTGCAGCGCCACCCTTATTGGACACGTTTTTAGGGACACTTTTCATATATAGAGATGGTCCTCTTTCTACTCTACACTCCATAATCGGGACGTATGTACTTGAATATTCTAGATGTTTCTACAGTAGAAAATTCTGGAATTATCTGAGGCCCTATATTAGGCTGGTATAGACCGCGACAGGGGAGAGTGTTGAGTTGGCGATACAAGCGAATACTTCGAAGCGATACAACTGCGAACTAAAGTAATCAGTAGTACAATTGTATTTTGTTATTGGTGTGGTTTTAAGTTGTAATTAGTGTTCTGTAATTAAAGTGTCAATTTTGGTAATTAACTCGGCAGTTTTTAATTGTCTCGTACCGCAAGCTCGTAACAATAGGTTGTAACGGTTCTTGACTTTTGTTAGATATTTCCCGAGCGTTTAAATTAGCAGCGGTGCACCATATCTCGATAAGGTATTATATGTGAGATCCAACAAGGGATCGTATAAAAAATACGATCATAATAATATCCTCCTGAATGAATTTCCTTCATGGCGGCCAGTCTCAACGGCGACTAGCCATCTGGGCAAGACAGGATTATAGTGCCTGAGTGTAAGCGCAAGAACAGGTGCACTCCCTATTCCTTCACTCTTATAGTCCGATGGATCGGACACGACCAGAGAAAGATCAGGCGCAGTACCAACGGCTTTACGTGCTTTCCGAGGCACGGGAGTGAGATACCGCCAACTATCTGTCTCTGCTACTAATAATGTTTTAGCAGAAAAACCCAATAACTGATTTTGACTCGAATTCGACCTCATGATCAGCAATTGCGTTTACGACCACTAGAACAACGAGGCAGTTATATATGTATTGCTATTTCATTAATGTCAATATTAACGTAAGTTAGATTTATAGTCAAGACGTTTAGTTGCTTTCCAAAATTTTACATAATTTTTAGCTGCATGATATGAAGCCAATATGTCCATTTTTATCTGGTCGTCGTTGTTCTGGCACCACCTTAACTTACTTTTAAAAACTGCGACTCTCCACCATGTTTTTATAAATTTCACCAGACTCAGGTTTCCCACACCACAGCCAACATTTAAATTAATACCTTGCCCTTTGGTGAGTTTCACGGACGTGGTGATTCCAACCCCGCAGTATTGTATGTCTGTATCGTACATCGCGACTAACGGTAATTTTTACAGCACTGTGCAAAGCCTTAATAAAATTATCATAATATTTAACCAATAAATACAAATGAGTGTCGCATACTCTAAAACGACTAAAGTTACAATGTAATAATACAGTTTTCAAGGTGACTAGAAAAACAAAATTACTTAAAATATCACAGCAGTTCTTATTCATCATTATTATCATCATTACAGCCCTTCACAAGTCCACTGCTGAACATAGGCCTCCCCCAAGGAATGCCACAAAACACGGTCCTGAGCCACCTGCATCCATCGACTTCCTGCATGTCTTATCAGGTCGTCACTCCACCTAGTGGGGGGACGCCCTACACTTCGTCCGTCGGTACGAGGCCGCCACTCGAGAACCTTTTTCCCCATGGGTTGTCGGTTCTTCGAGCTATATGGCCGGCCCATTGCCACTTCAGCTTACTATTCCGTTGGGCTATGTCGGTCATTCTGGTTCTACTGCGGATATCCTCATTTCTAAGTTTATCACGCAGAGAAACTCCGACCATAACCATAACCCTCTCCATAGCTCGCTGAGCAACCTTGAGCTTCATCATCCGGCCAGCAGTGAAGGAACACGTCTCAGTTCCATAAGTCATCACTGGCAATACGCACTGGTTGTACAGTCTCGTTTTCAAGTTTTGAGGTATACCTGACGAGAAGATGTGCCGTAATTTCCCGAACGCTGCTCAACCGAGTTGAATCCGTCGATTGGTCGACCTCTCAGTCGAAGTTGGACTTACCTAGTCGGACTATTTGTCCCAGGTAAACATACTCGTCAACAACTTCGAGCTTAGTGTTCCCAACAACTACCGGCATAGGTGTGACATGGACATTAAACATAATCTTTGTTTTGTCCATGTTCATCTTAAGACCTATCCATTGGGCGAATTAAAGAGCTTCTGAAGGACTTCAAGTACCGGTTTTCCACCCGCTTTCAGAAGCTCCGCTGTAATTCCATCCTCGCCTGGGGACTTGCCGATTTTAAGGTGCTGGAGAACCATTCTAATCTCGCTCAGACTGACATCCGGAATATCTTCGGAATAGTGTCGTTGCCCTTAGAACCTTTCAATCTCACTCAAAATCTCAAGTTTCCCGGAAACGATACTGCCACACTCGGTCTTTAGCTTTGACAGTTGGCTCTTTCTGGCAGACAGATCTCTGGCAAAGACTTTGGAGCCTTGGTTCCGCTCGATCGCTTCTTCAATACAAGCTGTATTGAAGTTGCGTAAGTCTCACCGCATGCATTTTGAGATCTGTCTGTTAAGTCGCCTGTATGCTGTCAAATCTGTTGAAGACTGCAGCTTCATTTCCCGTCTAACAGCCATGAGATTTAGAGTGTGATCGGAGAGTTTTTGTGTTCTTCTGCGGCGGGTCTTGCAGAACTTAGCTCCGACCGCATGGACAGTTTCCATGAGCTTATCATTTATATCGTTCACTTCATTGCAGTCTTCCAGGCACTGAAAACGGTTTTGTAACTTGAGCTGAAAGGTTTCGGGACTTTGGACTAGAGCACGAGGGGGACGGAGCGTATACTTCATTAGACGAGACCTCGCCAACTTAACGTTTAGGTTCAGTGTGCCTCTAACCATTCAGTGATCGCTACCAGTTTTCACCCTCGCGATCACTGAGACATCACTGAACAGTTGTCGTCTGGTCGTCAAAATGAAGTCAATCTCCTTTTTTGTCGAACCGTCGGTGCTCGACCAGGTCCACTTCCTGTGGGGCCGCTTCTGGAAGAAAGAGTTTGTGGCGAAACGCCAAGCCACCAAAGCATTAAAAGAGCATATTAGCCTTTGGACATAGAGCATTATGTCTATGGCTACCCACGCTAACAAGTAACAACGCAGTTTTATAAAATTAATAGAATTCTACTTAATGTTAAATTTTTAAACAGTTCTGTTAATCTGTTATTGCGCACTATCTTTTATTTCTATTACTTTGGTGATAGCATACCAATATAAAGTTTATCACTGTTAATGCCGTTTTAATGAATACCCCAGAACTACAACACGATACCAGCATAACAAGGCTGGTGCAACTTCCATAGAAAAAATTATATGTACTACAGGGGTCAAATTTTAATGACGGTTATATATTCTTTCTGCTTTTCGTAATATGTCTATAAACGACATTGTCAAATCAAATAGGTCCAAATGTCAAATGAAACAATTATATTTGTATATATTTTATTTATTAAGATTGGTTTTAATTTTGCTATAGGAGCCGTTGTTCATTTACAGAATTGTTAAAAAATTAAATATGCATTATAAAACTTTCCAATTAAGTGGTCCAAGAAGCGGAAAAAATGATAACAAGAAAAGGCTATTCGTAGCAATGTTTCCCT